AAATGGACCTGTAGCGTTCCCAGAACCAGTTTTTGGCTTTACTATTAGTTATTAGAAAAGTAATAAACTTAAACATTTCAATATCACGTTTCGTTTCTTACCCTAAATACTATAGATAATTTATAGCATATCCATGTAAAGGCAACCCATGTTATTGCAATTATATTAAGGGAAAATTACAATTTTTGCTGGTATGACTGGCACGAATTAATTTCATGGACGATGCCTTTGCGGTGATATTCTCGCTTGTTTTTCCCCTGTTGTCTGCACAATAGGCAACTCTTCCTTCCCATTTTACTTTCTACTACACGATATTGCCAAAAGCTTTAGATAGGAAACTTCTGCCGAGTTTCCCTTGAAGAGGCCTTCATTATTCTTAATGCAGTGGAAAACCTCTTTCTACTCTAAATGAGGTTTCTAATGTTTGAGTTATTAAGGAACTTAATCAATAACATTATGAATTTTGTCTGAGCATTCTTGATTTTATCACTATATCTTAACCTTTCACTTTTCCATGAATTTTTGGGACAATGTCTATATTTATTCCTTGCTTTACGCAAGTATAAACATATTACTTTTCAGCAAGTCATCTGTATCGGAATATTTCGCTTACATTAAATTTCCAATTGCTATTAGTTTGTTGTGTATTTTTTTTTAGAAAACTTTTCTGCTGCTGACAGTCATCCTTAGAGAATCATTATATTCTTAATATCCTTAAAAGATGATATTTTAGCTCATGCTAATCTTATGTGGTTGTTTAGGTTGCTCTTGCACGTTCCTGCTCAAATGCTTCTCACAGCCTTCAGGAGAGGGCTGCTGGTGCTCTGTGGGGATTATCTGTGTCAGAAGCAAATAGGTATGTGCAAAAAATTGTTTTTGTTTTTGCATAGGGCTGCTGCTAATAATGATCCATGCCAAGCCTGTGTCACAGAGTTTCTTTGTGTAGTGGTTCCTAACATGCTTTAACTGATTTTATCATTTTATGTATGGATGAGGAATCCTTCTGGGACATGAATAGCGTTATATGACGAGGTTGCATTTGTCCATTATACGATACTATATAAAGAGATAACATTTGTCTATGAAAGAACAAAGCATCAGATGTCATTCATTTTTTAGGCCTGATTTTATAACTGTGAGCTTTGATTTTTCAAAGGGCTGGTCAATACTAATTATTTTCATGGTCAATCACAATGCCATGGTATTTGATGAACACTGAACTGCTGTCATTACATAGTTTTGATTTTTCCAATTGCCTTGAATTTTATACATGTGTTTGTTGCTTTTGTGATAGCATTGCCATTGGACAAGAAGGAGGCGTGGCACCACTAATAGCACTGGCACGATCAGATGCTGAGGTAATTTTTTACTCAGGATATATAATTGGTTCTTTCTGGATCATTCTGTACGTAATTCAAGTATTTTATTTGTACTCTCAATCTAGTGACCCGCGGGTCATTATTTGGTTGCGCCTTACCGTGATAAAGTGGTAGGTTGGTTGTGGTGTCAAGTTGCTTTAGTGCTTACTTTTCATTAATTTCTCCATGGTCGAATATTACTGTGGATTCTAAATCAGAGCTTATAAAGAATGAATTGTGGCTATGCCGCACAAGGCTTCCATTTGTACGTTGAATTGTGGCTATGTCGCACAAGGCTTCCATTTGTATGTATCCCTAAAAAAAAGCCCTACAACTTCACACCAACTTTATATGACTCCTATAATTATCTTCTTGAGCCGGGAGCCGTGAATGCATTAAGAAATTGACAGCATAGAGAATCAATGATTCTTAATCAACCTGATTCCTGATATTCCTACAGTATATATAACCAGGGGTAATATTGAGATAATACACCGTCACATGAGAGACTTGGTTTATATTCTTCAGTGTTGCATTCTTAAAAGGTTTTGAGTTTCTGAAAGGACTTCAAATGGTACTTCGGGAGTCAAACAAATTGGCATGTGGACATTAATACACATATATTAGGAAATATAATAGTCCAATCTTTGTAAAAAGGCTGAATTGCTTGAGTTTGTCTTATTGTTCTTAAAACTCCTAATATTTTGAAAATTAAGTTGAAGAAAACTTCACTGGGCCCATGTTTTGTTCCGATATAGCCCTAGACTCGATTCATCCATTTAACATGATTGGGTGGAATTGCATTGTCAACAAGTTGAAATCAGCTCTATAAACTTGTTTCATGTATCCTTGTTGCCATTAATGATGACAAGGGCATCACTGCATCAAGTTTATATCCTAGGAGCAGATAACTAAAGGAATAGCGAAGCAAGGGTGTTATTGTTAGCTGATATCTTATTAATAATTATAATATTTCATAATCCAACTCACTTTGACCGTAAGTCCTTCCATGGTATTAATTATTAGAATGGAAGAAATTGTAACATAATCGTTAACTTTACCATATACGTTCAAGTTTACTCGCGCGCATTCTTGTTTACTTTGTTTACAACCTAATACTTAGACAATTCCTTGCAACTTCTTCGCATAATCACCAACTCAATAATGAGTACAGAGGCTTCATATAGGTTGCATTTCTACGTATTGTGTGAAAAGTTCCGTGATAATGGAAATGCTTAAGTAATCCTTAATTAAAGAGATAATTCATGAAACACTATATAAAATTGAGTTACTTGAACTCAACGACGAGGCTTAAGATGAATAAGATGATGAAGATTGACAGTGATTAATCATGAACTGAAGTTTCAACAGGAAATTTATAAATTGTATTTCTATGTTGGATGAAGATGCTTTGGAAATATATGATCATGTTAATTTGACAAAATTACAGGAATATCTGAGGGTCAAGTAAGTACATGAAACTCAACCTAAGTTACCTTGAAAGTTATATTCGGGGCTTTTTATGTCATAGATTTATTCGGAGCTTTTTATGTTATAGATTAAATTTTACTTTTATCCTAGGAATTGTATGCAGTAAAGAAAATGTAAATCCCTGTTCAAATTCATGGACTTGGACGCCAAAGGCGGCATTCAGTTGATGATATGTGATCCTTTTTAGTTATTATCACTTTCTTTTTGTATCATAAGGATCTTAGGTGGAATTAGAAATCTAAGCATCTTCAGTTTTCTTACTAAGCTGTGTGGGTACTTGACTATTAAAAGATATTGTTTATTATAAGAAATATTTTGCTCTTTGATTCCGTTAGGCATTTTTGGCTTTTCTTTATTCGGACCTGCATTTGCCACTTCTGTGTTTGTATAAATATTTTTACCACTTTCCCTTCTGCAACTTTTAGTAAGTAAATTGCGTGGGCTATAATTATTTGTGTAGAAAAGTGTTAGGTAATACCTATTCTATTTATTTTTCCACATAAAAGGGCCTTTTCTTTCCGAAGTTTTTTTACATTCTTCTTTCTTCCTCCCTGATAATATATGAGAAGGTAAAGTTTCTAAAAATATCTTAAAAGGATTAAGATTCAAAAAATTTGTAATTCAGCTACCGTAAAGTCGGGACTCCAAAATCTTCAGAGTTTTGTACTACATTTCAAAAGTGGTTACCCCTAGAAGGTTCTTTCCTATTGATGCATTCCATATCAAATTGATTTGTGGTGTAATTGTAATTATTCATTAGCACCATGTATTAATTGTTCAGCAGACGTATACAACTATTTTTACATGAATTGCATCTGATACAATGCTTGATGTGCTACTTATTCTTTTTCGCTTGTTAAGTCTGTTTTTTATTGTTATGCAATCTGGATTGATATCGATGTATTCATCAACTTCTAGGATGTCCATGAGACAGCTGCTGGGGCTCTTTGGAATCTTGCTTTCAATTCTGATAATGCTCTCCGTATAGTAGAGGAAGGTGGGGTTCCTGCCCTGGTTTCTCTTTGTTCTTCCTCTGTATCAAAAATGGCCCGCTTCATGTCAGCTCTGGCTTTGGCATACATGTTTGATGGAAGGTACTTAAAATCTTCTGAATCCAGATACAAGTATATAATAGTCTTTTCTCCTCTATTCTTTCCATGTTCCCCTTTTTCTTGGAATGAAAGTATGCTGCACTAGGAAAATGAATTTGCTGCAAGGAAGTATCATAATTTTTATCACAATTGGACCTAGGATGTTTAAGGGTGGCTGGCCTTAGTTATATCTATATATTATCACTAAACTTGTTTTTTTTAATAGTGAATTCTGAAACAAATAAAGCAGTATCTCTTTTGGCTTTTCCTTTTATTGTTCTTTTTATGATGACATTGTTAGTAAGTTAAGCCTAGGCTTTGTATAAAGGAAAACACCCTATGAAATGTTTCTTATTTTATTTATCGTCTTAAACTGATTGGTCTGCTTTATTAAAGGTCAGTAGGTAACGAATTTAGATCTCACCAGAAAAATAACGGAGGTTCTTCTAACTTTAATGTGATGGTGTGTAATTGGTACCTGCACATAAGTTTCCGCAGCTTCTTTTAGAATTTGAGCAGAGCAAGTATAATCACCAATTTAGTCTCATCGGTCTGTAGTTCGCTTTTTAACAAGGAGTGAGGTCATTTACCTGATTATATTTTGTTTAAAATCACATAAAATGCTCATAATGAATGCTTGGTCCAAGTATCCTGATGCTGGAACTGGAAAAACCTCGTTCTTTGCCTTGAAATGGAAGTAAGTTTTATTCTTAATGATCACTTTTCAGTATAAATCGTTTAAATTTACTGGCCCATGTATGTCAATAAGAGGTCACAACAATGATGTATTTGACCATGGATGCACAGCTTCGTATGTTGGAAGAAGCAATACTTTATAATAAAATCAGTATACCAGAGAGGTAAAAGGTATTTCAGCCGAGATTTAAGTTATTTTCTGACAAAGTATTTCTGGAATTATTTAACTATCATCTGATACTTAAACAAATATGGTGTATGAGAGAATATTGTCTTCTCCGTGATTAATGTTTATATCTGAAGAATACAATACACTAGCTACCTCGGAAAATCCCCTATGGCCCTTTCCCATACTTTTACTATTACTCCATAGTCAGTTTATTTAGACTTTATCTTCCTATATAACTATGAATGCTATGGATACCCAGAACCAGTTCTCACCTTCAGTCTGAACTTGTAGAACTCCGATAGATATTCTTCTCTCTGGGTTTATGCTTATCGAAATTGTTGACCGGCAAAATAATGTTTAATTCCAATATCCGTTGTGCTGCTGCTGCTGCTTTTCAGGGTCTAAAACTATGTTATGTATCTAAGTCTATTTAATGATATGGAACATACGTATCACGTGGTTTTTAATTAATTAATAATTTTGAACATATAAATCATGCAGTTTTTAGTTCACTATTCACAAGGAATCTTCTGTAGGAAAGACAAAACTGAAGGAATGCATGGAGAGGATGAAAGAACAGTAAAAGAGAAGTTTCTTATTTTAAGAGAAGTGTTTGAACAAATATAGTTCAATTTTAGCTCTTTTCATCTTTGATTGTGAGAAGCTGACTTCTTTTCATACAGCAATAGAACATGATCTTATTTTAGTCATATTTTGGTCTGTTCAAGCTTATCATCCACTTTTTGGAAACATAGTTAAAAGACAGAGCTACATGATCGCTACTTAATGGAAGAAATTGCAGCATAACTGGAATTGAACGTTAGGAATAGTTTAGTACAGTGAAAATAAGAGAACGAATTATCTTTAAAGATGATCTGGGAATTTAACATGATAGTAGAGCTACGTGGATTCTTGGTTCAAATCTCAAATTCCTTACGAGCACAACGTGTGCAAAAATATAAACCAACAGATTACTAGTAACCTTTCTAATAGCTTAATATAGATGAGCTGGTAATTCAACATTCATGGATAAAGAGATTTGCATTCAATCCTCAGTTCTCCTTACGCAGTCTCCTCCAAGTACAGTACTGAACTAGTAGATACATTGATTATGCTTGTAGAACTTTATGTAAATACTGGAAGCTTTGCAACATTTGATTTATCACAATTCTATAGATTCCATCTCCTATATTCCCTGGGAATTCATTAGAGGAATGTTTCTAACTGTTGTTCCTTGCATGGCCTTTGAGGGCTTGAGCAACGAGCTTGTTCCAAATAGAAGTATCCATTTATCAGGAAATAGGCTTAGTTTATTGTAGTTGCTACGTATTTTTTTCATCAGTAAAAGGTGGAGCTCTATGATGATTTTTGTCGATTATTATTGTGAGATTAAGCCCCCGTTTGGCCCTCATTCTTAGCTAATTTTAATGGATGGAATAGTGTTTTTTTGAAAAATGTGTGGTTGAAAAAAAATGATTTTTTTTTT